TTAATAAAGATGTTTAAATCTAGTTAATGTTATAAAAAATATATATAGAATACAATCATCGTAATGTTTTTAACAATCATTTTAAAAAGAATGGTGATAGATGAAATCTTTACGAATGATTATTAAATTTTCTAATTGTTTTTTTGCAGGCTATAATTATAAATGTTGATTAGGTATGATATACTGTAAAATCTTGAAATAGCGTACATGGGTGTTATTTCGAAAATCATGCCCCTAAAAATAGTATATGTAGATTCAAAATAATGTTTATGCGCGTTCTAAAATAACGCACACCCCATTATTATGTAGTTTGAAAAAGCCAGGTTCAAAAATAGGGATGTTAAAGAGTCCGTTCGGTCTCCAGCTTCGGTTCTAAAAAGTCCAGGTTTAATTTAGCAGTTTAACATACATTATAGATAATTTTGAAAATGAACTGCCAAAAGTATCTATTATTTACTTTTATTAAATTTTATCTGAGCCAGTTTCAGACTGCCCTAAAAAGTTCAGCCCCAGACCCAGTCTGAACAAGTTCTTTGTGGGCTATTTAACATCCTATTCAGAAAATCAATCTATGTATTCGAAATAGCTTCCATGGGCATACTCAAAATAGCGCGCAGACGCTCGCTATTTCGAGATTTTATGGTACCTCCTATTATAATACAGAATTCTTTTCAATAATTTTATTGCAATATCTGTATTTATATCTCAGTACATGATTATGGAAAAAGTTGATTGAAATATAAATTTGGAAAATATGCCTCAATAATTTTTTAATCTAAAATCTTTTTAAAAAATCGATGTGCATTAATGGTTCTCTAAATAGTTAAACATGAGATTAAAAAGTAAAATAACAATTTCTGTACCATAATGCAAAATAGACTTCTAGTATTACTATATTCATATTCCAAATTTGTATCAACAAGAAAGCTAAAATAGCATATTACTATATTCGAAAGTATAGAATCTAAGTACTTCATATTGTAATATTTCTGTATTTCCATATTTATATCAACAAAAAGAACCACTGAAATCAGTGTTGGCATATGACTAGATCATAACAAGTCATATTACTAAGTTCAATTATTGAAGTTATATGACTGAGGTCATATGACTTCAATAATTGAACTTAGTAATATGACCTGTTATGACCTGGTCATGTGCCAACACTGACTGAAATAGCATACTGCCATGTTCAAAAACGCAGAGTCTTAGAAACTAATCAAAGAAAGACAACTAATTAGTATTGTTAAAATAATAACGTAATAAATAATAATATGCTTCTAGTTTAAACAGATATACATCCTAGATTAGATTTCAGTATATGCATTAAGAATGAAATGTGTGTATTTTTTAATGTAGAAGATATCAAATATTAGACCGCGTTGTAGAATACTATTTTCTAAAAAATGTATAAAAATAGATAATTTCTTTTTAGCTTAGAAATTGTCTCAATAAATTTCAAATACCTCATAAATAATTATCTCGAAGTTATTTGTAAAACTCACCTTAAAATTTAGGGTTTAATTATCTATCAATTAACATTATAGTTACAAATAAAATAGTTAAAACTCGTGAGGCACCAGCTCAGTCTAAGCTCAAAAATAAAATCGCTCAATTAAATCGGGAGCTGCAGCCACTTAAAGTATTAGAAGATAGAGGAATGATCACAGATATTGATAGAGAAAAAAAAAAAAAGATTCAAGATGAACTTGAATCATCATTAAAAGCTCTAACTAAATTAGAATACCATCAACAGTTTTAAAAACAATATAGATATAAAAACAAACAGAAGCTTTAGCTAATATCAGAGCAACTTAAGGAAGCAGGTGTTGATATGCAGCTCGTTAGCCCAACAGTTGGTCATCCAAGTATAGAAGAAGCACAACCAGGTCTACTAGAAGCTATTGTTCAAATCGTTTCTCCAGATAGACAGGCCGATGAAAGGTGACGTTCAGAAATGGTACACTCTGTCAAGACCTTAGATCAGCTTCAAGAGGTACTGATACATATAAACTATAAGTTGTCATACTCTACAACATATCTTAGGCTCATTCCAAAACGGCACAATACTGAAGAGGGAAAGTGATATGTCAAAACTGTGCCAGTAAAGCTTCTAAGGTTTCAAAGTACTGCAAGAAAAAGTCATGAGGATACCCGTTTTTGTGTTGCTTCAATAAGAAATATAAAAGAAATGGTATCTTTATTAGGTCCAAAAAGCGTTTTGGTAATATCGCAAGATGACAAAGCACGAGTACCTCTTGGCTTAGCTACGGCCAACAAACAAGGTAATCTAAAATAAAAATTACAAATTTAACTCAGGTTAAAAGTCACTCGGTATATTAATAATACTAGTGATTATAGATAGCTTTTTGAGTGATTTTAACCGAGTTAAAATAGAATTCTTATTTAAAATACAGTATAATAAATTAAAGTTTTACTAATAATAATTAATATAGTACCGATTCTTATGAGACTGGAATACCGAGTAGAGCTTCTGGATCATGACTGGGTCGTTGCTGAAAGGCATAAGCTGATTCCTTCAGTTTATGCAGTATTAGATGTGCAAGAAGGTAAGTATGGGCATGCTGATGCAGTAACATATTCGGGCCCAACTTTTATAAGAATCCACAGTAGTAAGCATGATAGTAGTACCATGTACTCACATAGAAAAGATTTTGACGACTTGATGAATGAGAAACAATTGCGCAACTACACTACAACAACAAATGAACAACCTAAACCTGTAGTGGTGCTGCTAAATGATAGTGGTCCTGACGAGAATCCCCGATATAGAAAGACAATTCAGATGATGATCAAACATTTTGATAAATACGATCTCGACACCATCATTGTAGCATGCTTTGCATCTCATCAAAGTGCATCTAATCCAGTTGAAAGACGAATAGCACCTCTAAGTTATGACTTAGCTAGCATCATACTCCCATATGATACATTTAGAACACATTTGAATACACAATTGAGAACAAATAATGAGGAATTAGAAAAACGTAATTTTAAAGCAGCTAGAGATGTTTTAACATCAGTATGGGAAAATACAATTATAGATAGTTACCTGGTTCTTGTCAAGTATATAGATTCTTCTAAAAAACATCACTATTCAAATGAGAAGTCAGCACTTTGGATGGAGAAACATGTAATGACTTGTCGTTACATGACTCAAGTCACAAAGTGTGATGATCAAAGCTGTTGCAAACTATTTCGAAGTGGAATAAGGCAAATTCTTTCTAATTGCTTTTTTTCTCCACCACTCAAAATTCAACAAAAGCCTTCCAGTATTTGCGCAGCAAACATAAATGCATCTGATGATACAATTCATTATTCTGGTTTTCTCTTATCTGTGTTAATAGAAGGAAAGTTAATTCCTCCAAATATGAATTTACGGCATTTTTCTTTTGATTGGTACTGCTCAACTATCAATAAATCGATTAACGAATATATATGTTCCTATTATAATAAGTATTTTGCTTTAAAAAAAACTTTGAATTACTATACGTAAAAATGTTCGTATAAGGAATCTAACTTATCTGTAGAACCTCCTTTGGATGTTCAAGATTTTCAAGTAGACACTAATGTGTCTATTTACAACTATCGACATGGTGAAGTCTTAATTAATAACCAAAGTAAGGACCTATATGGGTGGAAAAAGAAACAGTACCAGAAGATGTATTAGAAACTTATCATTAACAAGTACAGGTTCAAGAAAAATTGATTGCAGATAAAGTATTAATAGTTGACTGAAATACTTGGAATCAATGTGAGTGGACCAATAAATAAAACGTACAAATATAAAATTCAGAAATTTTACCTTTCTAATTCTAATTAATTTCAAATTTTTCTATGTATAACAAATTTTTTTTATTTATATTTCGAGATTTTTTTAAATAGGCTTTAATTGTGTTGTATTATATCATATGAATTTGCACTATATATACTATAGATTGTGCATAGACGACCCGGTTATACATATATATTTTATTATACGCATATAGTAAAAAATAGTGTGATATATACAATTTTTAAAATCATATGTATTATATATCACTTGACGTATAAATAATATTTTAAAAATTGATCTACATTATTTGTTACATATGGGCACGTATTGGGCCATACATACATATTAAAAAATAATTTCTGAAAACTTTCAAATATTTACTATTTAACCACTTCCAAAGAACTCATAGTTATCATCGTTTACAACATCTACCTGATTAATAGCTATTTTTTTATATTCAATAGTATATTTGACTTAAATTTTTCCTATAATAGTATTACTAGAAAAGCCAGATGCAGACCCAAAAAACCACATCATGGCAACAGAGAGAGGAGTAAATCGAGTGGAATGCTATTGGTATTCTTTATATGTTTCAGCGTAGTAATCGTGCATAGCATTAAAAGGTGCGTTATGTTCTTTTAAACTATTATTATTAAGTAGTTGACTCAATGAAGCTATGTTCGATCTATTTTTGCGATCCAAATTACTGTATAAAGAACATAATTTTTTTTCTTTTTCATACGCATTATAAATTTGAGCAAAGATGCTTTTGACACCAAGTAGTTACCATGTTGTATATTTGTTTCTATATTCTTGGTTTGATTGATCTTGAATAGGTGTCATCTGAATGAATATTAAAAATCCTGTACCTGCTTTGTTAACTTTTACAGGGACTGAAATATAGGTTTTAATGATAGACATATTTTTAGATAAGAATTAGATGTCTTGGAATAATATTCGAAGCACGATAAGTGTTGTATAAAACAAAAATCAATAAAAAGAAATACGGTTAAATAGTGGTCGTTTTATAAAATTATTACAATATAAAAAGAATTATGCACAAAGAAGCATAATCTTTTCTTTATTTGAAATTTTCTTTTTGTATAATCTTTCTTTTGTTGAAATAACAATTGGGCAACCAAGTTCAAGATATACTTTTCTTACTGATAAAATCAATAATGTGATTTCAGATATTAAATTTAGTAGTATCTTTATATGCAAAATAAAATTTTGATATTCTTTATAAAATTTAGCATAATTAAAGATCAATAGCCGAATGGGCAACAATGGATAATAGCAAAAGAAATCTGTACGTATATATGTATATCGTTCTCCTAGTGATAGAATCAAAATAATTTAGTAGGTTAGAGTTTCAATCAGGGCTAAAATGACATATAGTAAATGACAGTTATTCAATAAGTGTCGTTCTTGATTCTTTTTTTTAATGCAGTATTATACATATATGTTAGTCTATTGTTAAAAACGATCAAATATTTATTTCTACTAATAATTTTTATAGCTTTACGCAATGCTATGCATGTAAAGATAGATAATATTGTTGTTATTATTTTTTAATTAAATAATTTTATTAACCTAATATGGTATGTACGTACGTACAAGATTTAGTTATAAGATAATCATCTTTTAAATCAAGTTGCTAATCAATTTTGATAGTTTAATAATCATATTGCATCAATAATAACTTATATGTTTTCAGTGATTTTACTAGAAAAGAGTTTGAAACTATCAAATTTATGATTGTATGCAATCACGACCATTACTGTCCATAAATTTGATGATATATTTATTACCACGGTTTTTTTTTTATTATTCTGATAAGTTTCACTAATGATCAACAATTGATGAATAATCTATATAAACAACATTAAAGATGCAATTCGCTATCCATTCTGCTATA